AACTCCTTCCTTAAAACCTTCAAATAAACCTCCTGTATTTCATTGCTCACCTGCTCTTGAAATCTTTTCTGTGAGGGAAAGACAAAGGACCCGTAAGGCCTGTATAAGGTCTAGGACTGATTCCCTTTCCTGCAAGGAGTAAGGCTCACAGCAGAGTCTTATCAGCCCTAGATCTCCCCAGTGGTTCCTGGGGTTGGCAGAGATGGATAGAGAAAAAAAAACGCTCCTTTTTTGAGGCTGCAACCTTTCTCTTCCCCACTTCACGTAAGTCACCTGAGGATCCCACTGGCATCAATTCCAAGGACAAATGGAACCATTCCTAAAATATAATCTAAGGGAAAAAAAATTGTTTTAGTTTTAGACAATCATGGACTCTCAATCTGTGGTTGAAAGAGGACACTGTGCCTGCATACATGTGTACATGCACGTGCGCTTGTGTGTGTGTGTGTGTGTGTGTGTGTGTGTGTGTGTGTGTGAGCAAGAGGGAGAGAGAGACAGGGAAGGGGGAGAAAGATGACTCACAGGGTTGGGTGGGGATTTGGGACAAACAGAAATGAAGAAGCTAGCTTGAGAGCACACAGAACACAAGGCCCAATAGCTTGCTGGTAGTTGGTTGATAATTTTCTACAAATGAGTCAGAGGTTGGGAAGCTAAATAAACCATCTCTTTCCTCATTGTGGCCATGGAACCTTTCTCCAAGCCATATAGCACATCAAACCCTACAAGCTTGGGATAGAGTGCCACCTGGTGGCTTACAAAGTCAGTGCAACATTTCCAATGCCAGTTGAGCTATCATCTGGGTCCAGCTATCTTCTGGACTCAGAGACTGGGTCTCTGAGTCCAGAAGAAACCCAGTCACCCCTTCATATCCCTTGCAGGAAGAGAACTTAAGAGCCCTAATGGCACTCTGGTCGCATTTCAAGTGGGATTATACTTCTCTCCTGAGGGTTTATGTCCTTTGCAATTGGAGCCAGTCACTCTGTCCTCCCCGGAGACGTTACTGGCCCTGCTCGAGCAAATCGATGAACAACGGGAGGACCGTGACCGTGACTGTGACCGTGACTCTGTCCTCCAAACTTAAAGCTTCCTTATGGGGAAGAGTTGTAGCTGAATGGGAAATTTGATGTCCACAGACTTGTTTGAATCAATGTATAGAGCGGGAACTGGGGAAGGACTTGGTGAAGCTCAGAAAGCCAAGCTGAAACGAGCGGGAGAGAAGCTCTTGCTGCAATGACTCCAGCTTCTGGACGGTTCCTAACTGAAGTTCAGGACTCCCCACATCCTTGCCATTAGTCGCTGCAGGGAGAAAATCAGCCACTCTTGTTGGTCAAATAATAAAACCCAGAGAGGTTAAGTGATGTGCCCAAAGTCATGTGGTTTGTACATAGGTGATAAAACAGTCAAACCCACTGTGGTCTGATTCAAAGGTGAACTTCACACTGACACTCAGTGCTCTCTTCCAGGCTCTCTTCTGTGTCGCTTTGCTCTCTGTGAACATTTCCAAGATATGACAGATGGACAGGGCTGACGATATGCTGGCCACGTGGTGGGGTTCTCTTGGGGAGTTAGCATACTGGAGTTAAAGGAGTTGCCGAGCAGACCCGTGGTGTATTCTGGCCCAGTCTCACGTGAAACCGCTTTCTCGAAACCTCACATTGGCTCAGACATAAAGGTGCTTCAAAATACAGCTCCTGTTTCAGGAGTATCTGCATGTGCTAAGCCTTGTGTCTGGTGAACAAACAGGTAGTGAACGTGGCAGAATTTGAGTCGGTGGACCCCATGGGTGGCTTATGTGAGGTGGGGTAGAGAGAGACGATCACTTTCTACCCATCCGCCTCTGCCCCACCCCCACCCCCCAGTACCCAGTGTTCTTGTCTCATCTCACGGAAAAGAATTTCAGGAGTGGACAAGCAGTGAAGTAAAACAGGTTTTATTTGGAGGATTTTGAAGGGGAACAGGGAGAGAAAGCAGGAGCGAGTTGAAAGTAAAGTGCTCAAGAGTGCACAGGCTTCTCCCAAGACAGAGAAGCCCCCACATACATCCCAGCATTAGATAGGAAAGTCCACATCCCAAGAGGGAAGATGTGGGCACCACATGTGCTCAGGTGCCACATGTGCTCGGCCACGTGGCTCAAGCAGCACATGGACTCAGGCAACATATGTGCTCCCTTCCTTTGTTCAAGGTGGCTTTAAAATTTTTTTTAAGTAACACAGGGCATTTTTATTTTTTAATTTTTTTGCCGTGTAATCTTTTAATTTTATTTTATCATTTAATTTTTTTTAATGAATCACCGTGAGCTACAGTTACAGACTTACAAACTTTCGTGATTACGTTTCAGTCATACAATGATCAAGTGCCCATCCCTCCACCAGTGCCCATTCTCCACCACCAATGTTCCCAGTATCCTTCCCGCCACCCCCACTCCCTCCCCTGCCTCTGTGGCAGGCACATTACCTTTTACTCTCTCTCTCTCTTCTTTGGGTGTTCACAATACGGGTGGCCATCATGTTCGGTCCATAGTCTACTTTCAGCGCACATCTCCCATCCCGAGCGAGCTCTCCAAGCATCATTCACTTAGTGGTCCCGTCTCTATCCCAGCTGCCTTTCCCCCCAGCATGTGAGGCCAGCTTCCAAGTATAGAGCGATCCTCCTGGCCCTTATCTCTGCTATCCTTGGGTGTTAGTCTCCCATTATGTTACTTTATATTTCACAAGATCTTTTGCACATGCTAGAGTGTACACCAGAATGTAGGGTGTGGGGATCACTGTACTGTGAGGCCAGGGCTGCGGCCAGCCAGGAGGAGTCCTCGTTATAGGGCCCATGCTGGGAAGAAAAGGTGGAAGGTCTGTTTATTCCTCCTTCTGTGAACTTTAGCTAACCAAGGCATATGTAAGGTACAGTTTAGAGATACCTCTATTTTCATTTTAGCTCTCATAAAAGGGCTTAAAATAGGAGTCCAGAAGTAGAAAGCAATTTATTTATTTATCTATTTTGTTTTTTGGAATAACACCTAGCAATCAGGGCTTACCCCTGGCTCTGCACTCAGGAATCATTCCCAGCAGTGCTCAGGGGACCACATGGGATGTCATGGATCAAACCTGGGTCAGCCGAGTGCAAAGCAAATGCCCTGCCTGCTGTGCCATCACTCCAGCCCCAAAAGGAAGCAATTTTAACATGGAAATGAGCTAAGGGCTCCTGTCATAAGGGACTTCATCTTTATTTCCCTTCTAGCCCGTGGAACACCTCCCCATTGTTGCAAATGATGAAGGCAGACAGCTAGACAAGAAAAAACTCTGTGGCAATGGAATTTCTAACCACCTACAATGATATTTCTGGGAAGTAAAGTCCTAAGGTTGAGCACATTGTGGATACAGAAAACGAGACCTTCAGCAGTGGACCCTGAGGAGACTGGACTCCTTCATCCTCATGGAAAGGAAAATCCTTGAGAACCTTTAATCCCCTCCCTTAATCTGACTAACCTTTGTGTTTCAGCCCAAAGAAAACCCCAGAACATTCCAGACCAAGACAACCCAAGAAGATATCCGTATAAAAAGCCAGTCCAAGAGCTCATTCATGGTTCTCACCACTCTCAGAGAAGTTCCACTTTCTCTTTTGAGTGCATCTCTCTCTCTCTCTCTCTCTCTCTCTCCCTCTCTCTCTCTCTCTCTCTCTCTCTCTCTCTCTCTCTCTCCTCTCTCTCTTTCCCCTCTCTCCTCACCTTTAAAAACCTCCACATAAAATCTGTTCTACTTCACTGCTCATCTCCTTTTGAAATTCTTTTCTATGCGGCCAGACAAGAACCCAGTAATCCTGGGTAAGGCCTAGGACTGACTTTCCTTTCCTGTAAAGAGTAATTCCTTGTCCCAACCTGAGTCCGTGGCTCCCTGAGAAATTGGGTGCAGTGATCAACTCCCATGCTGAGAAGACCAAGCGGACATCGGACATCAGGTGTGGTTTGACGGTCACCTGGAGGGGCTGGTGTAGGGCCTCATGACAGTTTTAGTCTTCTCAGCTGGATCTTGGGGTGGCAGAGGTCTCTCCTTGCCTCACATAAACCACTGTTGGGACCCCACCAACATCACAGGGTCCAGGTGTAACCCACTGACAAATCCAGCACATAAACAAACTGTTCAGCTCCCAGAATCACTACCCCCTCAGTCATGATTGTTTCCCCCATAACCACAAGTCAATTGGTCCCTTTGACCCTAAACTGACAGAAGCTTATTTTGAATCTGTAACTTGCTTCACTGAATACAGTTCCTGTATCCCTTACTCACTGTGTCCTTTGTCTGTGAGTTTTGCCTTTATAACCTTATTCCTTCGTGTCCCAAGCCCGTGGTCTCTGGGACACTGGTTTTCTGTAATGAAGACTCCCAGTTTGGCCTCCCTGAGGGGCTTTCGTCTGTCTCTCATGAAACTCCTACAACAGAACGTGACTCTTGGCCTGTATGGCTTGGCGCCTACATAATACCTTTGCGGTTGTTTCCTCTGCTGACCTCAGAGGCCTCTAGTCTACTTCAGACAAGGTTTTTCATACAGGCTATGTTGGACTCAATTTGTTCCCCACTGTTCTCTGGCCCCAGTCCTGAGAGATAGTTCTTCTTGGCCTAATATAAAAATAACAGTCATAGTCCCCATATGAGCTTTTGAAATTTTTCTGTTGGTTCATGCAGGTGCCCAGCCTTCGTCACCTCTTCATAAGTCATCCCCTCCCCACCCACTCTGTGACCCACCTCTTCTACTGACACCATCTTTTCACTACCTGGCTGTACATCCAGCTACTGGATAGCAGCTCCCCAAGATACTAAAACCAATATTATTCTCTTAACTACCCCTTGCTGTTCTCAAAAGAATCAAAAGGTACATCTTTGACACCAAGATTCTAATTTGATAATCCTTGCTGCAGTGGTCCAGACATTATGGAATACTAGTCCAAGACATTATGGAATACTAACAGAAAACATTTTTTAAGATTATAATAACGTGGCATTTCTTTTTTTTCATGGTAAAGACTGCTTTACTGGCGGCAATTAAGTACAAGTCAATAAATATTGATCCCCAAAGAATTCAGATTAGTGGTCCATTTATCAATTGTGGAATAATAAATTGAAGTCAGTCCTGCTTCTTGGGAAATGAAGCCATAACCAGCTGATATACGGCATATGCTGTTCCACCAACTGTAAGAATCATAGTGGCCCTATACAGGAGGGCATCAGACACCCCACCCTTCAGATGCACTGGAATTCCATTATCTTCCTGGAATAGCTTCTGTTTCTCGGGAACCTTATTTTCAAACTGCCTGCGGGAAGCAGTACTTATGGGACTCTGGGCAATCTGGTGAAGAGTCATCAGATTCGCAGCATCTTTAACGTGGCATTTCTTGACTGTCCACAAGAGAAAAGCAGGCATGCATCTGAAGCAGGCAAGTAGATAGGAAAGGGTGCCCATGACAATGGAATTCTGAAGAAGTAATAAAGCCAATAGCCTTGACTGCAAAAAACCTGCCTTGCAGGCATAAGAACTAAGACCTGATAACTTCACCTGGTGTCAGCTGCCAACAGACCCAGAGAAGGCTGGACCCCCTCCAAGAAAAGCTGTAGCGGGAATAAAGGCCGGAGAAAGGAATTTCAAAGATCATAAATCACTCCCAATTTTACTCCCTTGGCTACATATCCTAGTAACGGACTCTTACCTCACAGAAAACCCCACATGGAACATCTTGGAAAAAACCTGTAAAAGCCAACTTGGACAAAGAAAGTATGCACATATGCTGCTTGAACCCACGTGCTTCTCGTGGCCCCATGGCCATGCCCATGTGGTGAAAGCGTTCATCACAGACTTTATCAGTTCTAGCCTTTATCAGTTCCAGGGTGGCAGAGGTGGATTGGGAAGAAGTAGCCATCTCTCTCTTCTCTACCTCACATAAGCCACCTGAGGCCAACTGACTTCATATTCATGTGTATAACTTGGGTATGCAGACAAACATGTATGGATGCACAAAGGCTCATACTTTGCTTGCAAGGAGCTAAAGCATGGATGACCATCCAGACCAGTGTACTGTAGACAGTGGAAGAGCATTCAGTGAAAATCTGAATGGAACGTGGCTGGCTTCTGTAGATACCGAAAAGTGCAGAACCACTGAGTCATACAAAAGGGACTTATTAGGTGTGAAGGCAAGTTGAGAAGGATATTTAGCAGCATGGACTGGAAAATAGCTTCAGGAAACTCAGACATATTCATGAGGAAGAATGGGGAGGATGTGCAATTGAGGAACATACAATTAGTCTGTATCGCATGAAGAGAGAACAGTTGAGAAAGGTGTGTTTGCAATTTGGTAGTGAAAGGAAGGAGACTAGAAACTACAGCACAATCCCCACTGGCCTGCACTATCTGGCCAAGAGTCAGGGGTTCTTTTCATATAAAACTGTTCAAGTTCCACCTTGAACCCATCACAGTCAAAGAAAAGATGTGGCATTCTTCAGAATACAAGCTTTAGACCAGTCTATTCTAGCCTTTCCTTCTAAATCTGGAGGAGGGAAAGAGAAGGGCCAAAATTTGAAAATGCTTTGACACTACTGTGATCTATTTTAAAAACCCCTAGCTAATCTCTTGACCTCTTCCAACAGAGAAACTCCAATTACATACATATTTATTCTGAAGTTATAGTTTATTTGGTTTTTAAATTTTATTTATATATTTTTTATTAGTGAGACATATGAGGTACAGTTGTAGACTTACAAATTTTTGTGCTTGGGTTTCAATTACATAATGATCAAACGCCCATCCCTCCACCAGTGCCCACTTCCCACCACCACCACGGATCCCAGCATTCCTCCCACCCCCATCCCCCCCATCCCACCCTGCCTCTGTGGCAGGGCATTCCCTTTTGTTCTCTCTCTCCTTTTGGGTGTTGTGGTTTGCAAAAGAGGCAATGAGTGGCAAACATGTTCGGTCTATAGTCTACTTTCAGCATGCTTCTCCCATCCTGGGAGGATCCTCCCAACACCCTTTATGTGGTGCTCCCTTCTCTATCTGAGCTCCTTTTCCCCCTAGCATGTGTGGTTGGCCTCCAAGCCATGGAGTAAAATTTCTGGTAAGTTATAGTTTATTTGGAGGTGGCAATTATGAGCAAGAAAAGGAACTCTGTGCCATCTTTATGAAGGCTAGAAATTGCATCTCAGCATTCCATTAAACATTTCCAGACCTCTGTGTCTGTCTGTCTCCCTCTCTCTACTAAGTACTATATGAAACACAAATGTGGACAACTCAGCCCCTGTATGCCCTGGAAAAATCAGTATAGCCATCTGGAGAGTATAGAAACAATCAAAAGGACTAATTAATTGAAAGTCCGCAAAAGACAGGTCTATATTAGAATCTTAGTTCCTTGCCTATTGGTTGTGTGGTCCTGGGCAAGTTTAGCTTACTAGAATAAGATCATATATGTGGTAGTGCAAGCTATGTGATGTTGGGGTGCTGAGGTCCAAGTAGAGAGTAACTGACTACCACTATCGATATGGAAATGTGTAGTTTGTTATGAAATGCATGAAAATCTATAAATCCCTTATGAAATGCATATCTCAGTTTTGCCCATTGCATTACTAATATTTTTAAACCTGCAAATATCTGGGCCTCCTTCCACGCCCCACCCTCCCTGCACCGGACTGGGGCGCTGTGCCTCCCCACCAGAGGCCACCCTGCACCCGCAGCGGTGACCACAGTGGCGTGACAGGGGCCCCAGCCCTACCCGGGGCCTACTCCAGGCCAGCCGGCAGCCAGCAGCATGCGGGGGCCCCAGCCCTGCTGTCAAGTATTAACTCATACTAACACAGTCTGTCTCCAAGGACCCTCTTGGCCCCTTCGTCATCCCTGTGCTGACATTTTAATCGTGCTTCTGTGGGAGCGGGCTGGCATTTGTTATCAGGAATGGTGGCGATGGGCAGCGTGGGCTGCTGCTGGGGGATACGGCCCATTCTGACAGGAAAGTGAGGCAGGAGCCTTGGAACAAGCTGTCTGCACTGATACAGCACACACACAGACACAGACACAGACACAGACACACACACACACACACACACACACTACTTGAGGGTCAGTGGCAAGAAAATGGGAGGTGGGCTGGAGAGATAGCACAGCGGGTACGGCTGGCGGCTGACCTGGGTTTGATTCCTCTGCCCCTCTCTGAGAGCCAAGCAAGCTATGGAGAGTATTCCTGCCCACATGGCAGAGCCTGGCAAACTCCCCACGGCTATTGGATATGCCAAAAACAGTAACAAAAAGTCTTACAACGGAGACGTTGCTGGTGCCCGCTTGAGCAAATCGATCAATAACGGGAGGGGAGGACAGTGCTACAGTGAAAATATCTGGCAGTATTCCCAGCTTAAGCTCCCTGCCCTAACATCTGTACTTTGCATTCCTTTGTTGGGCTAACAATTCCAGAAAGCTGGCACCCTTGACCCTGCCTGCACCACTTCCGCAGCTACCATTCATTCTGGCTGTAGCACTAAGGCCCTTACCACCTGTAGTTTACATCCCCTTAATTTAGAGAACCACCTTTTAGCCCTTTACTTACGCTCAACCATAGCTTCTCAGAGAACTGTAGGGCTGTATAAGTAGTCGCTGAATACAGAATTCCAGAAAACTCATGGATTCACACATCTATCTTTTTTTTTGTTCAGTGGCCTGCTCATTGACCCTAAAATCCTGCACGAGAAACAAGGGGAGTCTAGGTGCTGTGAGACTTTAGTATTCCTGGGGTTGCACAGAAAAAAAAATAATTTCCTATCCTACTGGTGGTCCACCCTTCACTTGGGGAGCAGATTTTCTACTTCAGTCTGAATACATACGGGATACATATACATGTATATTGATTCCAACTTGTGGTTCCCTGGGAAGAAGCAAATTAGTCCTAAAACAGAGGCTTTTAATATACTGAAGTGGCAAAACCCAGATTCTGGAAACAACCTGAGTGCCCAAGAACAGACGACTGGATAAAGAAACTATGGCACATCGACACAATGGAATACTACTCAGCTGTTAGGAAAAATGAAGTCATGAAATTTGCCTATAAGTAGATGGACTTGGAGAGTATCATGCTGAGTGAAATGAGTCAGAGGGAGAGGTACAGACATAGAATGATTGGACTCATATTTTTTGGATCTAAAGAAAAAACATAGTATTATCCTAATACCCGAGGACAGTAGAAGCAAAGACCAGGAGCACTGGCCCACTGTTGGAAGCTTGCCACAAGTGGTGGTAAGGGATAGGGCAGCTAGGACAGAGAAGGAGGGACCACTAATGCCTTAAAGGAGAGGGGGTTAGAGGGAGAGAGAGAGGGGGAGAGAGAGAGAAAGAGAGACAGAGAGACAGAGAGACAGAGAAAGAAAGAGAGAGAGAGAGAGAAGAAAAGTGTCTGTCATAGACATAGGTTGGGAGGGGCCAGGAGGAAAACTGGGGAACTGGGTACAATGGTGCTGGGAAATGTCCACTGGTGGAAGGTTGGGTGTTGGAACACTGCATGACTGAAAGCTAATCATGAACAGCTTTGTAAATATCTATCTCACAGTGATTCAATAATAAAGTCTTTTTAAAAAATTTAAATCAAAAAATTGAAGGGGGGTCTGCAGAAGAGTTCAAAGGACTGGAGCTGATACTTTTCATGTGGGTAATCTGGGATCCACTCTGAAACTCCATGGTCCCCTGAGAACTTCTGGGAGTGACCCTTTAGTACTGAGTCTGAAGTAGCCAGTCCCTGTCCCTAGGTGGAAAATGTCCTGTCCTGTGACTTTTAGCAACGTTTGTTTCCTGCCTCTGTGCCTCTACTATGAAGCCATACTTAATGCTTTCTCACCTGGTGGCCCCACCCCATCCTTACCTCTTTAAGGGTTTTCCGTGACTGTGACTAGTTAGGAAAAGAGATTAAATGTAGATTATTATGAATCACCTCTTACTGAGTCAGAACCGAAAGGAAGTCAAGAAAGACTCCAGGAAGCCACATACTGTCATGTGCACTTTGACACCGAGGCTCATGAAAAAGAAATGCTTAGCTCAGGATCAACATGACACCAGCTCTGTGGCAGAACCGAGTTATGGGTTTAAGGTCTTGGCATTGAGCTTAGTTGCTTTTCAATGGAGCTGAAGCACCTCCTAAAACCTGTGGAAACTACATTTGATTATTCCGTAAACAATCAAACTGGGTTGGATGTCAACTGAGAGACAAGAAACATCCAAGTCAAAGGGCTGCCTAGAAAACTGAGATGAGAGAGAATGCTATTCTTTGTATTTTTGTTAAAAAGGAGATGAAAGGGAATCACAGTTTGGAACCGATAGTTGTGCAGAGAGTTCAGGAGGCTATGACTAAATACTGGGAAGAAGGAATCAAAAAATAAGTTTTTCCTGGAGGGGGATAGTATAGTGGATCACAGTGCTGGTACGAAAAGCACAAACCCTGATCCAGGGAGCACCCCAGAGCACAACCTTAGAGGCCCCCGGCACTGTGTGAGTGGCTGGAATAATAATCTCCAGCACAGGGGCCTGGAAAACACAATTTCCTCCAGATTTAGCATTGAATTCCACGCTGAGCGGGTGGGAAGTCCTCCAAATCTCCTGGTCTGGGCATGGGAGTAACAGTCCCCCAGCCCCCCCCCCCCCCCGGCCCCATTAAATGGAGTTTTCTGCCCTGGGATACTACCCCTTCACCCAGACAGCAATCATGCTTATACTAGCACAAACACATGTATCCCTGTGCATTGAACAAGCACCAAAGTGATTTGTGAAGAGTTTCATCAGCACTGGAGACAGATCAAGCCTGCTTTCCTTACTGCCTGGCGTCGGTGATTTCCCCAGAAATGCCGGACAGCCAGGCACAAGTACAAACCTGTTGGAAAAGGTGGAGCTGGTGAAACCAAACGGACTGGTACACACATGCTTCTGGAAGGAAGATTCCTGCCCACCAGAGCTGGAGTCTTCCAGCCTCCCTGCCAAGACCCATCAGACTGGTACTCCCCCCCCATCCTCCACAGCCCTGCCACAGTGGGGACTGAACCAACTAAGAGCTGCAAACTGCTCCTCCTTGCATGGGTTTGGTGGAGGAGAAAAAATGAACACCGTAGCCTCTACGAATTTGCTTTGTGTTCTGATTCAGGCCTTGAAGTTAAGTTATTCTCATTGTCTAATGAGAAAGGTTAAAAGTCAGTAGGCCAGCCTTAGAGCTTATGGGACAGCCAGGTCTGAGCCGGGGTGACAGGGCAACTGCGGTTCATGGGATAGGGGGTGGAACTGGCACACCCTTCTTGCCCCGCCAAGACCACGAGTTGCCCCCCCACAAGCGGCTCTCCGGCACAGCCATGGCCCCAGAGGCACATGGACCTAATTCGGAACCCAGCAGCTCTTGGCAGAAATCCCTCCAGACTTAATTAGTAAAATATCAGAAATCCAAAATTGCACGGCCGCACTAGCAACCACGTGACATCATATGGTCTTCATAACCAGCAATAGAAAACAAATGATTTCACAATGCCTTTTCAGCAGGTTTGATTGTTGGGGGAAAATTCCAAATAATAATGGTGCATCTTTTGTCAAAGTAATGAATGTAATCAAAGTAGAGAGAGAGAGTTAAGTGGAAATCAGCTGCCTCACTGGCATGGGGAGGGTTGGGATGGGGGGTATATTGGGGTTCTTGGTGGTGGAAAATATGCACTGGTGAAGGGATGGGTGTTTGATCATTGTATGACTGAGACTTAAACCTGAAAGCTTTGTAACTGTTCTCACGGTGATTCAATAAATCACTGTCACTATCCTCCCGTTGTACATCGATTTTCTCAAGCGGGTCCAGTAATGTCTCCATTGTGAGACTTTGTTGTTACTGTGTTTGGCATATCTGAATACGTCACGGGTAGCTTGCCAGGCTTTGGCATGCAGGAGAGATACTCTTGGTAGCTTGCCAGGCTCTCCGAGAGGGGCGGAGGAATCGAACTTGGGTTGGCCATGTTGGCTACATGCAAGGCAAACGCCCTACGCGCTGTGCTATCACTCCAGCCTGATTTAATAAACAAATTTTAAAAAATAAATAAATAAATAAATAAAAGGAAGAAAGGGGAAAAATTAAGTAGACCAAGGTTACTTCATCAAAAGTGGAGGGTGGGCTTGGAACCCAGATCTCTTAAGTTTCAAGCTGTTGAGAGTTCTTTCTTTGTTTTTGTTTTGGAGACTACACCCAGTGATGCTCAGAGATTACTCCTGCACTCCGGAATCACTCTTGGCAGGCCCAGGGAAACATACAGATGCTGGGGATCAAACCCAGGTTAGCTGCATGCAAAACAAGCACCCCACCCACTGTACTATCTCTCAGGCCCATAGCCTTTGATGTTGGAAATTCTTCCTGCCCATCACCACTTCCAGGAAACTTCTTTATTTGAAAAAATAGCCATTTTCTTGTCTGAGCAAGAAACACCTCACACAGCCTCCACCTCACACCCTTCATCCTGGGATCTCTGTTGTACAGAAACCTGCTGCTGGCTGCTGCTGGCTGATGGCAGACATCCCTGTAGAATGTGTCAGAGTTTCTGGAGAGAGGTAAGAGAATAGTCACTGATGGGACCTGGGGACAGAGGCTAACTGCATTCTATGCTAATAAGTCAGGCACACACCTGTGTGACAATCTGAGCACGTGTGATTCTGTATTGAGGTTCCTGTGAGTGTATGTTAGTGTGTGAACACATCTGTGATCAACATTATGTGAGCTGATGTATCAGTCTCTGGTGGATCCTGATCTCATGTGAGTGTTCAGGAATGAACATAGGAGGGAATGTGAATATGTGCATGCAAGCATGTATAAGTGTGCATAGTGCAGACATTCAGCAGGGACACAATGAACGTTGGTGAAGCCATGGTTAATCTATAAATTGTATTCAACTGGGGTGGTAGTATAAAGGGCTGGAATGAACACCTTACATTCATGACACTCTAAGTTTGATCGTTAGTACCTCTAAGTTTGATCCTTATCCCACATGTCCCAGCACTGCCAAATGTCATCCGGGTGATTTCCAGCACCTTGATTGTTGGGGGGAAATTCCAAATAATAATGGTGCATCATTTGTCAAAATAATGAATGTAATCAAAGGAGAGAGAGAGAGAGAGAGAGAGAGAGAGAGAGAGAGAGAGAGAGAGAGAGTTAAGTGGAAATCAGCTGCCTATTTGATTTAGCATTGAACTATTTGATCCAATTGATCGAGTGTTGATGTCTCAGTCATTTAACAAGTAAGGACCATAGTATTACTTAGGAGTTTGCCCCTCCAAAAGAAAATTTAAATTAAAACTACTTCTGAAGCAGCTGTTCTGCTCTCCGCTGCCTCTGTCCATCTCTGTTCTCCACGCAAGAGGTAAGAGGTCAGAAGTTGATGCCCACCCCAACATCAGGGTCTCCGGGAGCCTCTCAATGGGTGAACTGAGTCTATAAGCTGTAGAATATCCTGTGAATAGTGATGCTGTGTGTCTTTCATGTGAGTGAGCATGTAAGAGTGTGTGGCCCCACACAGACAGTAAGAGTGTGAGAACATGTGTCACAGGCGGCCTGAGCTTTCCAGAACAGGGTCCAAGCTTCAGGCTTCTTGTGATTCCTAAAATGGTGAGAACACTTGCTGTATGACTAGCCTAGTGCCAGAGAACCAGAGGCCAAGCAGAGAGCCTTAGTGTCCCAAGTTTGTCCTACCGGCAAAGTATCACCATCGTAACAAGAAACATCGACTGGAGCTAGTGATGCTTACTTTGGTAGCATAATATCAATGTGCAGAAGGTCTTGGTAGACTGTATCATCAGCAATGCCCTCCCTCACCCCCCGCCCCCACCAACACACACACACACACACACACACACACACACACACACACACACACACACACTGTACAAGTTTCCCAGCTTCCCTGTCTCAGTTCTTGACTGCAGGGGCCATAGCCTGCTCACAAAGATGTGGCCGACTTTTCAAACCAATGGAAAATTCACTGTGGAAAAGAACTTTCAGCCTGACTCCAGAGCAGTGTTTATTGCAAGCAAGTAAGACGAAGGGAAAATTTTGGAAGAAAACGGCAGTCAGCAAATGGGGTAGTTGCAACCTAGATTTAGTGCTGCTTCTTCCTATGAATACTCACTCAAACTCTTCCCTGCCATAATGCCTCAGCCCCCATCATCACCCCAAAAGTGCCTGATTCTTTACACTACTGTCAAGAGTCTGTGTCCTTTTTCAAATCTGGTGGCACTAATGGTAGCAGCCTGTCATCTTGCACTCTGTCAGAACCTAGAATGACACAAATAGTAGCTGGACTTCACAAACTGCTCCTGGATTCCTAAGAGTCGGCAAGACTCTGCCTGTGCTACAGATGAGAACAGTGAGATCTAAAGGAATGCACGTTTTCCTTCATATCACACAGCAAAGAGGAGTTCTTCTGGGATCCAAACCCAGCATCATGGAACAAATGAGCTAGATTAACTACACACAGCACACATACTAATTAGAATAATTAGTGGGGGAAAATACTCAATGAAACCCAGAGAGACAAAATTAAACCTGCTGTTGTTTTGCTACTGAGTGAGATGGGTAAGAAAATAGGGAGAGAGAAAGAGAAACAGAGACACACACAGAAAGACAGAGACAGAAAGGAGATAGACACAGAGAGAAAGAAGCGAGAGACACAGAAAAATAGAGACAGAGAGGATAGAGGCAGAGAGAGAGAGAGAGAGAGAGAGAGAGGAGAAAGATAGAGACAGACAGAGAAATACAGGGATATAGAGAGATGGAGATCGGAAAGAGACATAGAGAACAGAGACAGAGAGACAGAAACAGAGATACAGTTATAGAGAAAGAGACAGAGACAGAAGCAGAGAGACAAAGAGACAGAGACAGAGAATAGAGATAAATAGAGACAGAGACTGAGAGGAAGAGACACAGAGAGAAAAACAGAGAGAGTGAGAGAGAAAAACAGAGACAGAGGATTTGGACACAAAGCGAATAGAGACAGAGGAGCAAGACAAGCCACAGAGACAACAGAGACAAAGAGGAGAGATACAGAAAGAGACAGTCAGTGAGACAGAAAAAGAGACAACGATACTGTAGAGAGATGACATTTGGAGACTAAAGCGAGATTGCCTGGTGAGCATGAGAATGTTTTAAGCATGGCTTTTCCTGGGAGTTCAGAAAAGGTTCACGCTGAGTTTCTATTGAGCACAACACTCTGAAAGAAACATTATGAGACATAGATCACAAGACCATAGTTTGGTGTTAGCAAGATGTGGGCGGCTGCAGAGGCCATGCTGTAACTGCAGCATGAGGGCAGCTGCTCTCACAGTGAGGGCTGCTGGCTCTCGAGGGTGTGCCTGGCACTCAACCTTATTGGCTCATACAGTACCCAGTTCTGGAATGTGCTTCTCCCTGCCTAGCCAAGTCCCACTGTCTTCCCACTGTAAACCCCCTTCTTCACGAGACATTTTCTAAGAGCTCTTGAGAGGTGCAGTCAGGACAAGTTCTCCTGCCCCTCAGCCTCTCCCACTAATTCATATTGCCCCGATGAGCCTAAGATAGCACCTCATTTAACTGTTTTTAGCTGCGTTGGGAATCCCAGACTTGTCTTCTTACTGGATTCTTATCCGAATCAAGAGGCTCAGAACCCTCAGTTGTGACTGTGATTTCATGGTGCCCATCCCATTCTGAGTAAATGGAATGAGGTGCTTAATAGGGAGGCACTGATGGATCAAAGGATGGAACAGATAAATCAGTGACGGATAAAAGTGTGGACAGTGGGAAGGATGGATGGTGATGGCAAAGATGGAGAGTGGAAAGGATGGATGATGGATGGGGAATGGAAGGAAGTATGATGATGGATGAAGAACATTCTAGCCTTCAAAGGAAGCAACACTAAATAAAAGTCTGTGGATCTTACTCTCTGCTCAGGGATCACTCCTGGTGGTCTCAGAGTACCTTATGGGGTGCCAGGAATCAAAGCCACGTTGGCTGCATGCAAGGCAAGTGTCTTTCTCACTGTCTGGTATGATTGCCCTGTGTAGGAGGATTCTTCCTTGTTTTGTTTTGAGGCCATAACCAGCATGGTTCTGGGAAGAACTCCTGGCTCTGAACTTGGGAATTACTCTTGGTGTTGCTTGGGAGAACTTATGGGGTTCCAGGGAACGAACCTGGGTTGGCAAGCTGCAAGACAAGCACCCTACCCACAGCACTATGCAGTCCGTGTGTGTGTGTGTGTGTGTGTGTGTGTGTGTGTGTGTGTGTGAGAATGTTTATGGCAGTTTTTTTTTACCTGTAACTCATTGTTATTGGTATTTGGAGTGTGTTCTCTGAATGAAAAGTTGGCATCTCAGTTCTTCTCCTCTACCACAGAACTCTCGAATGGTAGGTTCCTCAACCTTTCTGGGTTGAGAGGCTGTTTTTCATGACATCTTTTAAATGGGCTCCTCTCCTGCCCCTGGTTCCACGTGAAGCTCTCTTTCGCCATGGTTGGGAATTGTCCCTCTATTGGAAAGAGCTAGCTCTCCTCCCAATTCTAAAAAAGCCATTGTGGATGTCCCAGCACATAAGTGTACAGCACCAAGTGCTGTTTCTTCCTGCACGCACACACCCAGTTATCCTACCTCAGGTTGGGGGTCAGGACACAAAATCTTCAGGAATGTAAGACTCAAACCAAAGAATCAGACGGAGACATTCATGCCAGGGGACTTCGGTTTAATTGTATGGAGAACAGGAGTAGACCCAAAGGTTACAGCAAAGAGCATCTGGGCTTGCTGCCCAGAGTTACAAGAAGATGGCAGGGCAATGCAAATGCGTGTCAGTGGAGATAATTAGACTGGTGGAGAACCAGATCCTTGTCTGAGATGGAAATAGCAGCTGTGCAGGAATGAGAAGTATACATCTCAAGAAAGCTTCCAATTGCCCAGGTATGGCTGCATCCGAGCCCGTGAGTGGGGCTGGAAAGCGCGCTGTTCTCCCTCAGCCTCTGGTCACAGCCCACCAGATCTCACTTCTGCTTGGACTTCTGGCACTGCTGAGCAGGTGGGCACTTCGGCTGGCACTTGGGTGGTGGCTGGCAAGGCTGCTTAGACTGCTGAGGTGGGGGGCAGCACTGCTGAGGAGGCGCGCACTGCTGAGGGGGAGGGCAGCACTGCTGAGGGGGCGCGCACTGCTGAGGTGGGGGGCAGCACTGCTGAGGAGGCGCGCACTGCTGAGGGGGAGGGCAGCACTGCTGAGGGGGCGCGCACTGCTGAGGAGGAGGGCAGCACTGCTGAGGAGGGGGGCAGCACTGCTGAGGGGGCGCACACTGCTGAGGGGGGGCGCACTGCTGAGGAGGGGGGCAGCACTGCTGAGGGGGCGCACATTGCTTCTGCTTCTGCTGCGACATCCTTTGCTGGACGTTCACCTGGGAGTAGAGAGACGAGAAGTGAGAATCCTTGTACCACAGAGGGGTTTTGGTATCAGAGACCTATTCTGCTCTCCTTAGACCTGAACCTAAGCCCCTCCCTCCCCAGTGTGACGTGTGTGTGTGTGTGTGTGTGTGTGTGTGTCTGGTGTGTGTGCACGCGCACACACAGATATGTGCGCACAGGTCTATGTGTAAAGCTTAAACTTTGTGATCCACTTCAAATCTTATTTTTGAGACAAAGTTACATGAGAAAACAGAAGAAAGGAGAAGGGAGGAGGAAGGGAGAACAAAAAGGAAAGGAAGAGCTGGATCAGAGACCCATAAATAATTCTTGAAAGAGATCAAAAGCCACAGTTAATCTTGAACCAGCACAAGAATGAAGAGAGCTGGGTATATTGGAGTGGGGTGGGTTGGCCTTGTGTCCACCCAAACAGAGTCTCTGGAAGTCACTTGATCCCACAATCCAGAATCACCTTCATGCCCCTGGCCTGACTCCACTGTCTCCCATGCCCCTGGTCTCTCCCACTGATGGATAACACCGAGACATAATCTGGTGAAAATTCTGGTATGTGGATTTTGTGACTGAAATCTCCTCTTTTTCTCAAGGTTGGGACAGGCTGCCTCCCCACTTCCTCCCTATACTTCCGGAAGCCTCGGAGTCACATCCACACCCCAAAACTGCCACCAAATTGAAAAGCTACTCCAGCCTTACCTTCCCGATAAAAATACCGAATGCCCTGAACAAACACCATGACCTCTTGGTATCTGTATTGTAACCCATAATGCACAAAAGGAAAAGGAGAGAGAGAGCAAGAAGGAGAGTGCCTCCCATAGAAGGAGGCTGGGAGTGGGGAGTAGGGAGGGAGTAGGCGGATGGTGGTAAGGAAACAGGGGGCCGTTGGTGATGGGAAATGTACACTGGTGTAGGGTTGGGTGCTGGATCATAGTAGGACTGAAACCGAATTATGAATTGCTTTGGTCTATCTCACGGATATTCAATTAAATTTTTTTTAAAAAAGAAACTTGGAATGCCTGATTCAATCAGCTTAATCAATGGCTGAATAAATTGCAGAACTCCTACGTTAAAAAAAAAAGAAAAGGACTGAAGAGATAATAGAGTGAGTAATGAAGCCAACCTGGGTTTGATTGCGGGCACTCCACGAGCCTTCCCAGCACTACCAGGAGTGATCCCTGAGCACAGAGCCAGAAATAAGCCCTGAGCTCCTCAAATGTGCTCCCTTTTACCTCTCCCCAACACCCCCCTCCCCAACTCAAATGAAACAAAATCGAAAAAGAGGAGATGGAAGAAAGGGTGTTGAAATCAGAGAAGGAGAGGGCAATAAGAAAAGGCAGGGAGGAAAAGAACCAAAAAGAATCCTATGCTATTTGAGCAACAGCTGTGGAATCTGGACAGGATTGCCTGTTATATGTGTTTTGTCTAAAGCATAAACTAATCAGCCCTTTGAGCAAGTTACTCAACTTTTCCGTAACTGTAAGGAATAGATGCATATATAAGATTATATTCATATAAGCATGCATTATGCATATATACATATGATCGTGCAAATAAATATAGATGTACCTACACCCAATATGTAGCACATGAAGAACACCGAGTAAGGGCCCAAACTTAGTAAGTAAACTTCTCAAAAATTTGAAAAGAATGGCAAAGAACATCTTAAGTCCTCTCAAAGAGAGTTTAAAGAACAGAGGGCTCTAGGGACCAAACAAGCCCTTAAGCTGCACAGTTAGTTACAGTCGATAAAAGAAAAGCTGGGGAGTGAGGTAAGGGATCCTGGCCGCTCAGCCAGGGGTGTCAAAAGTGGCCCCTGATTCCTGAAGCAAGGACTTGTCACTTGTCCCTGTGCCACACTCTCGGATCTGCTGTTCTGTCCCCTGGCAGACTTCTCTCTCCCCTCCTGCCTTTGCCTTGCTCTGAAAGTCAGCTCTGCCAATTGATTGGTTCCACGGTGGGCACAGCTCTATCTTTCCTCCAGGATCTTCTGAGTACCTCACCAGGCACAGCATCAGCCCTGTCCAGCAGGAGCTCCAGGACGGGTCGCTCTGCTCCCTTTCTCTCCCATCACAGCTACAGACTCACAGCTCTTGACAGACGCCTTAGAGACTCAGATGGGTTGCGCCCAGGGAAGGAGAGATGCACAAAGAGGCGTCTCCTGACCTCAAGTTAGAGTTCCAGCCCAGCACCCAGTCAGTGCTGGTCCATGCTGAGCAAGGCCAGAGGAGAGAGCCTGCTTGCCCAGACTTACCCAAGTTCACCAGCGACTGAAGCTCGGAGACACCAAAGGGTTTGAGATGCTGTCAGCTTGCCTCCCTTTTATACTCCTCGAGTCTCTGCCTGAGGTCATGAGGTGGCTGAGGATCGGGGTGTCCTAATTAGTCCCTAGTCACAATAGGATCCACCTGTCCTTCCTCAAATTTCAGGTTTTACTCACCCCCCCAGGGCCGACAGCCTCCCTTTCCACACGGCAGGACTTGGAGATGACAGAGCCTGCTCCGGCCCCACCTTCCCATCACTTTATGAGGCTGGCTGCCTTGGATTTCCAAACCCACTCATGGCTTTTGACTTAGAAGCTTGGCATCTGGTCTGGGAGGGTCCTAAGCAAGCACTCAGAATAGTGCCGGGTGGGTGTGGGGGGGTGTGAGGGCAAAGTTCCGGGAAGTCCTGATGGGAAGAATGAAGGGGGTGGGCTGGGTGGAATAGCAGTGGAATGCATGCTGAGAGAAATTGAACAACTCTGGGGGCACGGGTGAGTGGCTCTCTGGGAAGCTCATTCAACTCCGCACAGGTCCACCATGGATGGAATTTGTTCTCAGAGCCAAGTTAAGTGTGACGTGGCTGGAACACAGGGCTTTGGTTCTTTGTCTTCTGTTTAGTGAAGCAGTGAATAGGAGCTGTAGCTACGCATCCTGCCTGTTATTAAGAAAACAATTAGGCTTCATTAGAAAAAACTGGGTGATTGCAAGAAGGCTGTACTTCTCTCTCTCCATATGTATAAGGAGCCTAGTTCTAAGGTTCCCAGGGAATTGTTTACCATAAGGTGGGGAGGTGGAGGCACTGCAAAGCACTGAATGAGACTGAGTTTCTGGCAGAGCCACCTGGGCTGGGTCCTGGGTTCTGACTCCCAGAACCCGAGTTCTGATTCCTCCTTCCCACTCCTGTCAGGGATTCGAGGACAAAGAGGAATGCACAGAGCCCAGACATGTGTGCTCGCTCCTCCTTTCTGGTAAAGGATGGAATATAACTCTAAAAGGGTACTATTGGTCTCCTGCTGTGGGAACTAGAGTTACACGAATGGAAAATGGGCGCTGGCCTTTACCAGTGGTGACCTTAAATCCTTAGTGAGCCTCCTCATTTGCTGAAAAGGACAATGACACTATTTACCAGTTAGTGGTTCTGTGGTTAAAGTGGACATTTATGAAGTACGTGCAGCAGTGTTTGGCTTGGAATAGTGTTCGGCCATTGAGAGGGGTGCTCCACGGAACTGGACTCTGAATATTAGGACACAGTACATATTTAGAAATATGAAATGGCTCTTGCAAAAAAATAGAAGGCAAGGAGTGCCGCTTACCACCCCGTTTCATAAGATCTTGACTGAAAGCAATGAACACGGGCTAGTTGATTTAAGATGGTGTTTTAAACCTCAGAACTGAAACCTGACTGCAGCTCTTCTGAAAGCTCTACGAGAGCTCGAGCTCTTGGGCAATCATGCTACAACACAGGGTAACACAGGCTTGGCAATCAATGATGTCTCTCTTAGACCATGATCCTGACTCACTGGGATAACCGCATGTGAGTGGACACAAGACTGAAAGGGACACCAGGAATCTCGGTCTTCCTGGGAGAGAAACCTCTTCTATCCGGTATCACTCAGACAGAAGCCACCCCACTGGGCCTTGGAAAGGGATTTTAATTGCGTTCCTTCAGACCGAGGATGACAACCACAAGAGGTAATTATTGTGGGATCATTTTATCTATTTATCAAGACACAGTGCATCACACACTGGGCACTGAACCTGTGCTGGAGATGGAAGTGGCAGTGGAAAGCCTGGCCAGGAGCAGAGAGGAGTCTCCTGGGGCCTTTCTGCCAGTGGGAACTAGAGTGACATGAATGGAAAACGGGAGAAGACTGATCTATGTCCTTTATCCTCCTCCTTCCATCCAGTTTCTAAAAACAAAAAGCATAACTTGGGCTCATTGAAGAATTCACATTTAAAGGTTCCCAGAGTGAGTCTTGCAGAGCTTGAAAAATGAGTATCAGCTCATTCATGGGTTTTGCATGTGAAATTTTGTCAATCTTTTTAGCACAGGTTCCAGCTACCCTGAACAGACTTTCTTTTTTTTTTCTTTTTGGGTCACACCCAGCAATGCACAGGGGTTACTCCTGGCTCTACAGTCAGGAATCATCCCTGGCTGTGCTCAGGGGACCATATGGGATGCTGGGAATCGAACCCGGGTTGGCTGCGTGCAAGGCAAACACCCTACCCGTTGTGCTATTGCTCCAGCCCCTGAACAGACTTTCTGACATGGAGTTACCTCACTGAAGAATGCGTGATGCAATATTTCTTCCACCATTGAAATTAGGAAGACAATTTAGAAACCACCAATATTCTTAAGGGGTATCCTCAGCACTTGGAATTCACTTAGTATCAGTATTTTTTTAAATTATAGTTTATTTACTAACAATAATGATTTAATAATAAATTATTACTATAATTTTTAAATTATAGTTTATTTAGTAACAATAGTGTTTTGTTAAAAAGGTAAAAAGGTAAAGGTAAAGGCCCTCCCGTTGATCGTCGATTTGCTCGAGCGGGCCCAGTAACGTCTCCATTGGAGACTTTGTTGTTACTGTGTCTGGCATATCGAATACTCTCGATAGCTTGCCGGGCTCTCCGAGAGGGGCGGAGGAATCGAACTCGGGTCGGCCATGTTGGCCGCTTGTAAGGCGAACGCCCTA